TGTAAAAACACCCATAGAAACCTGGATTACACTGCGTGGAAATCCATGTGAAAATCTATGATGTTATGATTCTAATGTTCAGCATGCTAAACGCTCATAGTTTTCTACAGCTACATAACTAGTACTGTGTTGTGCAGTTGCCTCCTCATAGCTCCAAAGCTCCACTTCCACATAGAAGAAAAGAAGATAGAAATAGAAGAAAAACAAGAGTCAACACTAGCGATGTGTTGCAACGCTGGAGATAGCTCTTGGCGATTAAAAGAATGAAGTTTGATATTCACTGTTTCTTCTAGACTGGTAAGTAAACAGCTATTAATGCTACTTTCAGCTATGTAGCGATAGCAAAACATACAAATAGCTCCTTTAAAGTGTTCATGTTGTGGTCAGGAGTCAGGTGTATCATCCTGAATGCTGAATATTAAACATCCACCTTTTTTAAAGGCACATAAAAAATTTAGAAAAAATTCTCCCTCTTTGAAAAATCCAGAGTCTATGAATATGTAAAAGTTTACCTACTGGACACAAGACATCTCCTATCTTTCTGAAAGGTCAATTCTTCCTGTATGTGCACGGGAGGTTCCAGGTTTCTACAACGCACTTGTGTTAGCTGCATATCGGACCACGACTGGCCTCCAGATAAGCTGTGATGTCACAAAATCCTCCTCAATGTTTACGCATGTCAAACTGAGATTTAAGGTGAGCACAGAGAAACTCAGCAGATGAGTGTGAAAACAGCCTCCTAGCGTCAAACTCTGCACAAATGTAATTATGCACAGTGAAGCAAGAAGTAACAATAATCATAACACATTTCTGAGTGGGGGGGGGCTTTAAAGATGATGTAAAGACACACTCTTTGTACTCTGATTTTGCACCATGGCTAGAAAATTACACCTTTACACCTTGCTCCTCCACATTCCTCTACACCACACACTTACACACATGCACAGCGACACATACTGATACTAAATGTCTATATTTAGTTCTGCCACTAAGATAAACCATTAAAATATTTTGGTGCACCTATGTCTCTTTTAATTTGTCACCTCACCACACAAGGTTAAACTTAATTGTGATATTCTGGTCATGTGATAATAGATGGTCAGATTTAAACTGTTTACTTTTATGATTCATCATCTAAGTGCTTCCTAATTGCCCAATCAAATTAAATTTAAGAAGGTACACAACCAATAAACAGCTAAATATCATCAGCTCTACTACAGGAAAGAGATCAGATCACATAGCAGGGAAAATGAAAAGTAGATCCCTCAAGAGAAACTTCGGAGCCCAGGATGTAGGGCGGAGTAGAAGGCTAAAGGTCAGCTCCTGATTCTCCTGCCGCTGCATTGTCCCTCTATGACACCTGTCAATCAACCGGTGCTGAAGACCTTTATACCGTGACAAAGGCCACTCGCAGGCTATTGAGCGAGACAACGATCCCTTCATGAGAAATGTCATGGATGTAGTGATAAAAAATGAGGTCAGCCGTGTGCGGAGCAGGAGCAGCCTGGGAGAGCTTCTAGCTCATGTCAAAACTCCAGAGTAGGAGTGTGTCACCGTCACACTCGCCATGCCACTGTGGCTTTTCGCTGAATGATACAGCTGTTATTGCCGGGGGATCATTATCCCATCGGTGTTTCTGTGTGAGCAATGTGCAGATGTGTGTGTGTGTGTGTGGCTTTGTGTGTGGTCAGTAGGTGACGTGGTGTGATGCATGTCTTTAATAACAGTCCATTACCTCTCTGCATGAGTGTGTGTGTGTGTGTGTGTGTGTGTGTGTGTGTGTGTGTGTGTGTGTGAGTTTCCTTTGTATGTGAGCCAGTCCCTGTGCTTGTGTGTGTGTTACTGCATGTTCCTGGGTGTGTGTGTCCGTGTCCCCGCGAGTGTGCGAAAACAGAAATGTGTTGGAAATGGCTGCTGATGGGCCGTGAATCAGAGCCACGGCGTGCTGTTATTTCATGTTGCTCCCACCGGGACGGGCCGAGCAACCAGCCGGGCTGCTGTCTGTTATCCCTCACCCGGAGGTTCACTGACCCCAACCATATTTTTCTTCTTCCCCTCCTTTGTTTGCACTTTCCCTTCCCTCCCCCCACATGACTTGCTCCTTCTTTAAGACCTTCTCACTTTCTCTTCTCGCTTTGACACTTATTATTCTCCTGCCTCACTCGTTTTGCTAACCCATATTTCATCTTCAACTTCACCCTCCTGACGGATCCACACATTTGCTCTCTTTTAAAAAATTGCCAACATACCAAGATAGTTCTAAGCAGTGGCACCACAACTGATGCCAGCTTCTAAAAACACATGCCAGTACATGTTGGAAGGCAAAATTTCCCTCAGAAATATCTCCCTGTCCCACGCAAATCTATTCAGTGCTGTGTGAACGCTGACAAAACGCATAGAAATCCACTGATCTCGAACGCTGCTCGCCCACCACAACAGCAGGCTATAACTAATCCATCTCCCACTACATGTTTTTAATGAGCCTCCATAACTGTAATCCGTATGGTGCAGTGCGGTGAGGGCCAAATGGAGCTTTTTTTCCCCGTGACTTTGTGCTGTCAGCAAAACCTGATGAGGGACGTGTGTGTGTGTGTATTTGTGTGTGTGTTGCTGTCACTGAGCATCTGTGTCGTCGGTGTGCCCATCCTGGTTGTCAATTTTCCATCTGGTGGATGTGGGATGTGTGTGTGTGTGAGGATGTGTGTGTGTTTATTGTTTAAATAGAGGATCTGTGTATTTACCTGCATCCTCCTATCCCTGGATTATTGGAAACAGAAGCTGATGGGAGTGGCAGCAGTGTGTGTGTGTGTATGTGTGTGTGAGGGAGGGAGCAGAGGTAGAAGCTGCCAGGCCCCTTTCAGAAACCCCCATTGGGGCCGCATTAGGGCCCTCTGGGGGCCAAATTAGAGGCCACTAACCAAGTTAGAGATCAGCAGCAGAGGGGGGCCTAACTGGCAGGGATTGACTGATTTCACTCCAGCCCTCTGAACTAACACACACACATATACACACACCTCCTCTCTTTGTTTTGCAGCTGATCAGCAGAAGATAAAAGCCAGTTCCTGACAATAGCAGCCTCTCTGTTGGGGAGTCTGCAGGGAGATCCTGACAGAGAGGAAGAGCTGTAATGTATTCCTGTAGGTCAACCCAGATTAGTGTGTCTGAATCAAGGGGAAGTGACTTTAAAAAACCCATTTAGAGTTTAGAACAGGAGTTTCTTTCAATGAAATCTCATTATTGTTTTTATCCATATGTTCTTACTGGAAAAAAGTTCAAACAAGTACGGCTGTAAATGATGAGAAACATTGATTTTTTATTGTTTTTAGGGTATATGCCTGTACAATGACTAATGGATGGTAATATCATTAAAAGAAACTTAAAAGAAAGAATAATTGAAACGAAGAGCAAAGTCACCATTTCTCCATATTAAATTTAATCAGAGAGTTTTACATAAAGTATTCCCATAATGGCTTTCTTTTATTTATTTTATTCATCTTCATTTTAAAGAATAAACCTGCCAATATTTTATATTTTCCTTATTGTCAACAGATTCCATGAAAAGCTCTGTGTATCCAAATCATGATACTGTGTATGTGTCATACAGCTCCACTGGGTGTCATGTTCCTTCATTACCATCAACACAGGCACTGTAGTTTATTTTGAGTCAGTCCCACATACACCATTCTCCTGCTGGAAATACTCAGACGTGTACTAATCTGCCAGAGAAAATAGTGCCTAGCAAATGCACTATTACTTCCTATTAAAGTAACTCAATTTTTATAGGAATAAAACAGTATTCAGGGCTTGGAGCTGAGTTCAACAGACAAGTTGGAAAGAAGTGATTGAATTCTTGTATCTAGTTTGTACTGCATGGATGTATTTATGTTCTGCACAGTTGGCTTTGCTCTTTTCATTTGTTGACAGCAAGAAAAATAAGGTAAAACACCAGCTTTTAATTCGAGTGGAGATCCAAGAGTTTAAAAAAAAAAAAGTAATTATATCAGGCTGAATTTTGAAAAGTACACAAAACTGTTGCGTGACAATCTGGTGCATTTCACCCAAAAGCATCATATACTGTGATTTCAGTGGTAAAATAAGCACATTTTGAATATTTAAAGAGTGCAGTGCAGAATAGACAACTTTATTTCTATGTGTAAAAAAAAAACTTAAGTGGAGTTTTAGTGTGGGAAAATAAAGAGATTAAGAGGTTAAACAGACCTGGCGTTACTGAATACTCACCAGTGCAAGATTTATACCAGGTCAAGTGAAAGAAAAACAGAGCATCTCAACCCATAGGCTCAAGACACGCCCCTTGCTTCCTGTAACATGTCACACACGCACACACGCACACACGCACACACGCACGCATGCACGCACACATACATTTGGAGGTGGTGACATTTGTGAAGTCTCACAGAAGATGGTCATAAATCTCAGTTTTATGAGTGACTCTGCTGAGCTCTGCAGACTGTTGACCGCATCGCCTCGACACTCAAGTCCACGCAGCACAAAAAAAAAAAAAAAAACCCCTGAGGGTGTTGATTGATTTGCCTCATGAGGGCAGTGAAAGCCACTCACTGTTAGGGTCGGGCAGGTTTCTGTTTATAAATGTCTTTGTGCATTAGCATCGTGACAAGTGGAGATTTGGCAGACGGCATTGTCTGCCTCAAAAACATTTAAAGAATTCATTTTTTGCTTTTTCCATAGTTTTCCACACAAGAAATGTAGACATGGTTATTTAAATTAAATGAATTTCTTTATGACATGAGTCTTTGCCGAGTTGAGAGACTGTAACAGCAGCCAAACAGCCGTCATCTACTCTGCAATTTTGTTTAGTGAGAAGGTTGAAAGATTGAATCCTTCAGGCTTGACTCCAATCAAGTCATTAGGAGAAGGTGGAGCCAATGCCAAGTTCCCATTCCTGAGTTTTGGTCAAAGGATCATAGCAGCAGTTCCCCCTGAACGCACCAAAAACTCAGGGTTTTGTGTGAGAGGTTGTGATGGGGCTCAGAGAAGCAGTTTTGTTAGGATCTGTGCTTCTCTTCTCATGTGGGAATCTTCGTGTAGCCTCACAAAACTGGTTTAACTTCAGCACCAATGAGACTCTGAAACAAATCCCACAAGAGGAAGCGACAGCGATCTTACAGCTGCCGAGATCACCGCAGACCACAGACCATCAGTCAAACCGGACAGGACAAGGTGATGCGCACCGCTTTCCTGTCAGCTACCGGCTCAGGAGCTACCAGCTCAGGAGCCCAGCTGTCAGCAAGCAGAAACCGGCCCGGCCTCTCATGGAGCACATGCAAACTTTTCAAAACCCTGAGAGATCAGAGGCCAGAAAGCTGACCTCAGAGCAGCTGGAGCTGAGGGAAACTGTCCTTGCTCCAGAGTTGTTAAAAGGCCCAGATCTGAACCCTCCTGTCAAGCAGGAATCCAAAGTACTTCAAAACCTTCTTTTTTTTTTAATCTATTACTTCTACACAGTCTCATCAATCTGTGCACCAAATAATTTCAGTGTAAATAAGTGTGATTGATTTTGTAGGTGCTGGTGAAGATAGAGCAGCAGGTGCCTGTGCCAGCTGACAGCGTGGCAGTGCGCTGCGGTGAAGGAGAAGTCACCGTAGAGGTCAAGCAGAACTTCCTAGGTAATGGCTGCCAGTTACTTGTTTGAATAGATCAAGTGTGTGTGTGTGTGTGTTTTTTGTGTGGAACCAGCACGGGTCCATTTAACATGCCTTCTGCTCTGATGTCAGAAAAAGACAGGGCCAGGTTAGAGGCCCGAATTGGAAAATTGAATGGAACGGTGAAGATGGGACACTCAGTGCTTATTACTGCAAATGGCACAGACTATGGACTCGGCGATCAATACTGTTTCCTCTTATTTCTTCACTCCGAGAAGGGGCATTCTTGGTACTCAAATACTGACTCTACAGCGTCGCATTAAGAAACCTTTTTATTTGTCCTGTAGTTGAACCTGCACTTGCCGTGAGTGTTATTGACTGGACCAGGAAAAGAAATGGCCTGGGGTAATGGTCTTGATTTAAGCTGTGCCTTTTCCTCTTTGTTCTTAGGAAACGGTCAGTTGATCCGTCCCAGTGATCTGACCTTAGGAGGCTGCGCTGCGCTAGACGCCGCTGACCACATCCTGCACTTCCAGACAAAGTTACAGGGCTGCGGCAGCACAATGACGGTGCGCGGCTTTCTGCCTCATGTCCAGCAATTTTTTTTCAGTGTTCTCTGTAACTGCTGTGTGCTCTCTTTAGATGACCGAAGACGCCCTCATATACGCCTTCTCCCTGATGTACTCTCCAACACCCATTGCCAACACCTTCATTTTCAAGACCAACCAAGCTGAGGTGGTAATTGAATGCCACTATCAAAGGTAAAGGTCTGCAACCCTGCAGAGACCCTGTTAATGTTTACCTCTCTATAATGTCATCCTCTCTCTACTCTTGCCTTTCTTTGCGATGAATTGCATATTCTTCTCCCTCAACGAGCCCCTCTCCAGTGAAATGCCCGTCCTTCCTATAATTGTCCTCGCAGGAGGCATTATGTGAGCAGCGACGCCGTGAGGCCTACCTGGAAGCAGTTCGCCTCAGACATGCTAGCAGAGCAGCAGCTGCACTTCTCCCTACGTCTCATGACAGGTGGGGGACACATAAAAAAAAAAAAAAAAACACAAACTTTGATTTGCGGCAGGCGGTTTGACTAATTTCCCCAGCGAAGGGCGTAATTGCAATCACTCGAGGCCTCACAGACTTTGCCGTGACTGTTAAAGATGCTAAACAGCGACTTGATAAACAGGAGTGAAACTTTTGATGCATGGTGATGAGCTGAAATTACATGCCTTGCAGGCTGCAGCTGACCCAGCAGGGTCACTTGCACAATAAAGAGATCAATAAACAGCTGATTATGTCTTCTAATTAATTCCAAGCTACACACGGCAAGACGGTGACTGCACCAAATTGCTCATCTTGAAAAGTCAGCCTTGCAGAAGCTCACCGCATCTCCTGTGATTTACTTGCATGGACTGTATGAAGTTATGAAGGAAATGATGGAAGTTTTAAACGAGTTTTTGCAAGCACAGACCCTCATCTGCCTTTCTTACCCAGGTTAATGATGATGTAATCCATTTATTGCCTTCTTTAAAGTCCTTTTCTCTTGTTGTTTCTGTACCTATATTCTATTCCCTGCTGCTGCGCTGACCCTCTCTTCCCCCCCATGGGCATCATCTAATCAGATTGATGGCCCCGGCATTACTTTTCCACTTATATTTTTTCCCTTCTGTATTTAATTAGAGGACTGGCAGTCGCAGAGGCCTTCCAGTGTTTACTTCCTGAGTGACGTGATGCACATTGAGGCGGCGGTCCTCCAGGGTCACCACGTTCCACTGAGGGTCTATGTGGACAGCTGTGTGGCCACTGCGAGCCCCGACCCCAGTTCCCAACCCAGATACCCCTTCATCAGTAACCATGGGTGAGAAGCTGTGGATTAGTGTACTTGAACAGGCCGCAAACCGACACTGCATATAAACAGTCAAGTGGATGTGTTTGTCTAAAAGAGTCAGCTGGTCATAATAATCAAGAGTTATGTTTGAAAAATACATATCAAGCGTTGATTGTCCTGCAAAGAGATGGAATGTGTTTATGAATATGATCCCAGTGCCTGTGTTTTGCCATATAAGGTGTTTAACTGATGCTAAGCTGACAGGAGCCAAGTCTTACTTCATGCAGAGGAGCCAAGAGGATAAACTTCATTTCCTGCTGAAAGCCTTCAGGTTCAACCAAGATCACAGGAATTCAGTAAGTACAGAGAGTGTGAGATGTGTTTTTATACACTTTTATAAAACTACTGATCATGTACAGACATTTGACTTTTTAGGCAGATTTTCTATTTCAGCCATCTGGTGTGTTTTGCAGTAGTCAAGGTGTTTCTTTAACCTTTTTTTTTTTTTTTCTTTCTCTGGTGTTCTGTTAGTCTCTTACGTGCTAAGTTGGCACATCATATATACATTTCTAAGTGTTGTTTGATGGCAATACTGTCCTCGGAGGCTTAGGAGTTCAAATACTTTCCAACTGAGGGAATGAACGCAGTCTTAGGTAACATTAAGCTTGGTAACTATGATGGACTGAATAAGCCAAAATGGAGCTGTGCCGTTTAATATAAACCAGTGTCAACTCAGAAAACCTTTTGTGCATCTGTACATTAGAGCTTTGGATGAGTCTTAGCCAAATAAATTCTAAATGCAAATCACTGCTTTAAAAATCCATCAGTGCCTTTAATTGCCTTTTTAAGATTACGGTGCAAAACGTAGTTATTGCACAATACAAAAGCCTCATATATATGTACATATAAGTTTTACATAATCATGCACTATAGTTTCAGCAGTACATCATGGACTGTAATGGGATGCAAAGTGAAATAACTGAGCTTAGATTCCCTCTCAGAAATATTTACATCTTCCAGTAAGACTGGTCGGGTTCCTGTTGAGTACAGTCAACAGTCAATGTTAGCATGTGTAAGGTTTCAGATAGAAATTGAAATATTTGAATCCAGTAATTTTAAGGTAGTGTGTGTTTGTTTAGTGAAGCTAGCATATGGGGAACTTGATGTAAATTTGTAGAGATGTAGCCTGTGCAATATTTTGCATTGTGGTAATCCATGTTTAATACTGCATGTAACTTTATAGCTCTACATCACGTGCCATCTGAAAGCAACAACGGTCTCTGTTCCTGTCGACTCGCAACGCAAAGCGTGTTCATTCCTGACTGAGGCGAACAGGTTAGTTCCTACAAATGGATGGGTGTTTTTGTTTTTTTTCCTCCTGCATCACCATGACTTTAATGCTATGAAAAGCTTTGCTCAGCCTCTCTCTCTCTCTCTCTCTCTCTCTCTCTCTCTCTCTATAACCGAATACATTTTTTGGCTCTGGACAGATGGGTGGCATCAGGTGGAGACAATAAGGTGTGTAGCTGCTGTGAAACCAGCTGCAGTGAGCGGAGATGGAAAAGAAGCCTGGCAGCAGATGCTGGTACAGTTTACAGAAGCAACATCACATTACACACAACATGAATCCTCAACATTTGATGCTAACCCATGCCGGAGGGGGGTTTGATACCATCCCTATGGAGCCCTTACATTACGGTTATTAAGACTATCACAAAAAATTTACTTTTACGTGATCAGGCCAAACTGACCTGCATGGTCCTAATCTAGCAAACCTCACCTTTTTATATTAGAAGTGGGTTTTTTTTAGCAACCCAGAGTGAATTAAATAACCCCCACACTAATAGATGAGCAGAGGTTCCGCCCATGTTTAGACAAGCTTACTTGCTTTCAGTTGGCACACATGCTGTTTATGCATCTTGGGAGGATTGATTTTGAGTTAATCCCTTTAATTGTCCAACCAATCAGTCGTGTCGTGAATGGTTGACTCAGCTGACTAAATGCACTAAGTACTTTTTTTTTTTTTTTTTTTTTTTTTTTCCCCGCTATCCTCCCCCCTGTTGGACTTGGAAGGTCTTCCTCTAGATCTGCAGTGGGAGGGGACGGCTGCTCTGGGCCCCATCCTGCTGGAGGAGCTGATGGAGGTGTCGGAGCTTCCCCCAGAGCCGGTCTCTCTGCTCCAGACACATGAAGTGATTCAAGCAGGTAATACGTGCACTGGTGGTTTTTCACACATGTAACAGCATAACTGGAAAATACATTCAAATTCACTGTTTCTTAATCACTAATGCTAAATACTGTGACTAATGGGACCGATAATGTTTGTCTTCTGCTCTCCCTCCTCCTCTCCATCAGCTTTTTATCCATCGATAGCCCTGCTGTGTGGAGTGGGTGCAGCACTGGCCGTGGTGTTGCAAGTTTTTATGGGTGCTGTCATTTGCAGCAGGCTACGCAAGCCAACTGGACACGCTGTTTATACCTGATTGAAGACAATAAAACATTTAGAACCAGGCCTTGTTTTTCTTTCTCTCTCATTTTGCACAAAGCAAAAGTAATATTGTTTTTTAATAGTTTTTTTTAAAGGCTGAAATCAACCATCTCAAAGCCTCAAACTTGACCTTTGTGGGTTGTTTTCAGAGTTAAACTAACAGTATTTCTCTGCAGGAGATGGCTGTGTTTGGTAGAATCTGTACAGTCTGTTGCTCAGGTGCATCTGCACTGCACTCCAAGTGTTTGCGTGCTAGGGTTAAAAGCGGTTAAGTTGTAGTGTCCAGCCTTGCAGAAAATGACCTGGTCATAAAATGCAGGCTATGTACACAATGAGGCACCGTATATTGCTCCATCAATCAGCATGCTTAAATACCAGACTGTTTGTTGAGAGACTATTTGAGGCATGATGCAAGAAATACCTCACTAAATATGGTTTGCAAAATGTACAGGGCTGTGGATAGAACATTTAAAATGGGGGGGGGCAGATGGGGTGGCCGGTGAGCGACCATTATATACACATTAGTGTGAATAATAAGTACTGTACACAAACATGTACAAGGTCTGAAATGACCCTGAAATGGCCTTTATGTTGAATTCATGCATGGATGATTTGTATGGTTAATTTTTAGGGAGCCTGCAGCTAGTCCAGCCATTGCCCCAATCTCAGGGAGATAATTTAATACACACCATTACTACAGAGCTGCCATGTAATTCACTTGAGCTGCATGAGATTTTTACCATCTTTATACTAATATACATGTAAAACAAAGAGAAATAGTGTAAAGCAGTGCCATTGGCTCCACGCTGTGAGGTAAAACATAAAGTACCGTCCCAGTAACAATAGTCATATTTTAGCTTCAGGCCATTTTCGGCTCTTCCCTTTAATTCACCCCCTCCAGCTTTCTACCAGTGGCGGAGTATTCGTGAAATGGGGCTCATCATGAACTGTTGCTCACAAGCCCAGGAAGACGGATAGACATAATTAAAAAGCCCATAAAGGCGAGAGCAGGAGCTTTTATTACAGTAATATGTGAAGGCCTTGGTTTAATGGGGTGTTTGTTCCCGTGTGCAGGGCTGACGGCTGCGCTAGTTTACTGCCGGAGTGATGCTGACCCCCTCCCATCCCCGGCACACCAGAGGCTAATAAAAAGCCATACCTAATGATGCACCAGCAGGACACATGACAGCGACAAACATACACACTCAGAGGCACAGTGATAGACACACACCCACAAGCCTCTCCTGAAAATGAGTCATTGAGGATGTGGAAAAAGGGTCTTATTGTGGTTTCAGGTACTGGAAAAAGAATAAAGGACGACAGAGAGAAGGGAACAAGAATAGATTGGTCACTAGGTGCTACTTTTACAGTGCGAGGAAGCACTATTTGCTCTTGCTGTTCCACACACTGCTGAACACATTAGACAGTTTACAGCAGTATGTTTAACTTTTTTGGCTATCATTGGCTCACACTTACACCTTTAAGTTCATTTAGCAAACATGTGAGCAAACATTTTGCCTGTTTACACATCCAGAGCAACATTAGCATTCATTAGCAGTGTTTGTGTTGCTCTCCACCAACACTGACTGGAAATATCTGGCTCTTTAACAGCTAAATGCTCCATTACCTACATCCACCAACTAGTTGCTAACTTTATCTTTTAGCTATTTGGTCTTTTGATCTGCTGCAGCTGGAACAGTGAGACTGAACCAGAGCATTAAAGTTGCAGGCTGTAAAAACCAAAACAATGAACTGAAAGATGCTAAAAAAATAATAATACTCTGTGGGTTACTCACAGCTAGGATCCCCTTTAATATTACACACTGATATTTGACCTTTTGTTGTTATAAAAAAATATCGATCAGTGCACCTTTAAAGCTTCATCAGGACATTTCACAAGTCCAGGAGGCGAAGAGTTGAGGAGGGGGAACAAAAACACACAGAATCTCAAAAGGCAGTGACTGTGTAATAATGTCGGATGTGTGGTTCCTTCACAGTGAAGGATACCAACCGGGCACAGAGGTGGACCTGGACACCTGAAGACACTTTCAGATGCAGGCTGCTGAGACAAGTGTCTTTTGCTTCTTCCACACAAAAATCGCCTGTAGCTTTACACGGAGTCAATAGAGTGGAAAAGGTTTTAATGTCTTGTTATGGTCACAGAGGATCATCATCATCATCATCATCATCATCATCATCATCATCATCATCATCATCATCATAGTAGTGGAGATGATCGCCCACCCACAGATGTCTAACGGTTATGGCGGCATGGACCCAAGTTGACAAGCAAAATGGCCGGGTCCTGAATCAGCCATTTTCTCCGACAGGATGTGTGACCCCGAGGGCACAAGCCAACACACATACATGTGCGCCTCTACTCTCATGCACACACACAGACACATGGACCATCAAAAGTAATGGTGTGTGTCCAGTGGCAGGCAGGGAGAGAGTCCTCTCATGTCTGGCAGCCTTAACGATATTATTGCTGTAGATGGAGCGTGCTGGGGAATATTGTTCCACACCATTGGTATGCTGCAGACGTCCACTTGTACCACACACTGGTGGTGATGACAGAAGTTGGTATTAACACCAGACCTGTTGGTTGATGCCTTTGACAACGGACCACAACATGTGGATTCCTCCTTGAGACAAGAAAAGTGCAGTTATTTTCAACTGGAGAGTGGATTTATGAGCATTTTTATTTATTTTTTTTAACAAAGACAGACATGTGGAACCTTTATCAAAGAGATGGTGCTGTGTTATTACAGGAAACCTTTGAAATTCAAGGCAGACATCTCTATCATTTACTAGAGATACTATCTGACTTAAAACATTCACTCCTTTAAATTTGAATAAATATCAAAGGCTGTTTAATTCAAGCCATGAATGCTCATTGTGTTATTATATGCCTCTGATACAGATTGTAATAATACATCTGTGTCTGGTCTGGGGGAATGCACATGCTCACAAACATGCACGCGACCTCTGTCCAGGCCCATAATTAACCCTCTTAATTAATAGAGAAAAAAGTTGCTAACGAAGGAAATGGATTTAATTAGCCTGGTCTTAGCCCAGACACACGTGCACGCCATAAAGCACACACACGTGCACCCACACGCGCACACAAAACAATTAAGCCTCTTTTATCCTAGCTAATGGCTTCAGTGACTCAGAGCCTTTCTCATTAAGACTATCAATAATATGCTGATTACATGCATCCACTGGTCTCCTTTATCAGGGCACAAAGGGACGAGAGTGTGTCTCTGAGGTTTCAGGGGTGGGGCGGTCTGTCTGCGCGACCTTATCTGCTAAAATAGACGTTTGAATTGTTTGGCTGGAGAAGCTAAAAGAGGCTATGCTTTGCCGTGTCTTTATTTTCTGCAGTTTATCTTATCAAGGAGGCCACTTGCGTCTTTCACAGGGAGGAAATGCCTGTGAAGTTGTACTGCTGAGGGCTTTATGGGGGCAAGATAATAGACTGAGGAGTGACGGTGGCTGTAATGCTATAGAACTGTCTGCTTGTCTGATTGTGTGCCACCACCTCTTGCTGACTAGGTTCTTGCCTGTGGAACTGCTTATCTGTCCATCTCTGTTTCTATGTTTTTTAATCATATTTTAACACAGATTTATTATTCCAATTCTAGATTAACAAGCAATACTGCAAGATAAATCTTTAGGTATATAGCTGTACATCAGCCTCAGACCCAAAATAGCTCTGTATTAGCTCCAAAAAGCACAGGGCCAATTTGGTTAATACATCCATTAGTCTGAAGGCTTATTAGGTGTCAGAACTCTGCATGGTGGCTTATAATACAACCAGACTGAATTTCACAACTCTGGAAATGCATTCTCAGTAGGATGATACAAAGTAATCCATATGTGCTTGTATGTATTTGATCAGCTAACACAATGCTGGATGTTTCATTGCATGACGGCGAAACTTGACCAAGGTCCAACCGTTTCTGCCAGGTGAACCTGCAGCGATGTCATGGGAAAATAAGGAGTCTGTCTGAACGTAGCCTTACCCCGTCTGACCAGAGAAATAGAAATGTCTGCATGATGTAATGCAAGCCAACTCAAGAGTCCTGCAACAAATATTACCACTGTGAATTTTTATGCTGGCAGTTGACGGTCCCTGTGATGGCTGTATCCACAGCCACATGATTGCAATAGAAACATGGTAATATGCATCCAGGCTCAGAACACTCCACATACAAATCCAACAGACGTTTTTATGGTTTCCACACTCTCCCACAACATGACCACAGTCTTTGTTAGTTTTTTTGCCGTAACTTAAAGTTACATAAAACACAACTGCAATTTTCTTTGTATTAAGTTTTAGTTCATGTTTATGTTGTTTTTCCCCCTTTTCAATTCTTTATCCCTTTATCATGAACTTTTAATCCATCTTTCTTCTCACCTCTCTATACACGTGTGTGTGTTAGACAGACATAGTAAAATAAGACAGACAGGCGTCTGTCACACAGGCAGGAAGACAATAGGTCTGTGCTTTGACCTTCAGTCTCTTCCTGTTGTAAGAGACACTGGGGACCCTCCAGTAGGAGGAGAGAGGAAAGCAGCAGTTTGACCTGCAGTGCCACACCTTCACCCCACTATACTGCATCCCCAAACATCCCTGATGGGGGCTGTTGCACTGTCTCTGATCTCCACTGTTTTCCACTCGATGCTATTGTGAGATTTGTTTTTCATCTAAGTTCTAAGGGTCTCGTGGGACCACCTATGGAGCTGACAGACCGTCCTTTGTTTGGTTACCAGCCTCCTGAGTTTGCTCCAGATAAACCTCGTAAGTGGACCCTGAATTAAGATTTTTTAAACGTACTATTCCAAGGTCAGGAATTGACCAAAGTCCAATTCTGGAAATAGTAGTGTGACAAAAGGTCCATCTGCTGTCAAAAACCATGACATGTGAAAACAGTGCAATAGAAAAAGCTAATAAGTGTGACTTGAGTCAAGTCAACAGAGCAAAGTAAT